AATCACACTTGGAGTTGCAGCTAGCAAGGGATGTTAAGAGTAACAAGAAGGGTTTCTTCAGGTATGTTAGCAACAAGAAGAAGGTCAAGGAAAGTGTGGGCCCCTTACTGAATGGGGGAGGCAACCAAGTAACAGAGGATGTGGAAAAAGCTAATGTACTCAATGCTTTTTTTGTCTCTGTCTTCACAAACAAGGTCAGCTCCCAGACTACTTCACTGGGCAGCACCGTATGGGGAGGAGGCGACCAGCCCTCCGTGGAGAAAGAAGTGGTTCAGGATTATTTAGAAAAGCTGGATGAGCACAAGTCCCTGGGGCCAGATGCACTGCATCCGAGGGTGCTAAAGGAGTTGGCGGATGTGATTGCAGAGCCATTGGCCATTATCTTTGAAAACTCATGGCGATCGGGGGAGGTCCTGGATGACTGAAAAAAGGCTAATGTAGTGCCCATCTTTAAAAAAGCCAAGAAGGAGGATCCGGGGAACTACAGGCCAGTCAGCCTCACCTCAGTCCCTGGAAATATCATGAAGCAGGTCCTCAAGGAATCAATTCTGAAGCACTTAGAGGAGAGGAAAGTGATCAGGAACAGTCAGCATGGATTCACCAAGGGCAAGTCATGCCTGACTAACCTAATTGCCTTCTATGACGAGATAACTAGCTCTGTGGATGAGGGAAAAGCAGTTGACGTGTTATTCCTTGCCTTTAGCAAAGCTTTTGATATGGTCTCCCACAGTATTCTTGCCAGCAAGTTAAAGAAGTATGAGCTGGATGAATGGACTATAAGGTGGATAGAAAGCTGGCTAGATCATCGGGCTCAACGGATAGTGATCAATGGCTGCATGTCTAGTTGGCAGCCGGTATCAAGCGGAGTGCTCCAAAGGTTGGTCCTGGGGCCGGTTTTGTTCAATAACTTCATTAATGATCTGGAGGGTGGCGTGGATTGCACCCTCAGCAAGTTTGCAGATGACACTAAACTGGGAGGAGTGGTAGATACGCTGGAGGATAGGGATAGGATACAGAGGGACCTAGACAAATTAGAGGATTGGGCCAAAAGAAATCTGATGAGGTTAAACAAGGACAAGTGCAGAGTCCTGCACTTAGGACGTAAGAATCCCATTCACTGCTACAGACTAGGGACCGAGTGGCTATGCAGCAGTTCTGCAGAAAAGGACCTAGGGGTTACAGTGGAAGCTGGATATGAGTCAACAGTGTGCCCTTGTTGCCAAGAGGCTAACGGCATTTTGGACTGTATAAGTAGGGGCATTGCCAGCAGATCGAGGGACGTGAACATTCCCCTCTATTTGGCATTGGTGAGGCCTCATCTGGAGTACTGTATCCAGTTTTGGGCCCCACACTACAAGAAGGATGTGGAAAAATTGGAAAGAGTCCAGCAGAGGGCAACAAAAATGATTAGGGGGCTGGAGCACATGACTTATGAGGAGAGGCTGAGGGAACTGGGATTATTTAGTCTGCAGAAGAGAAGAATGAGGGGGGATTTGATAGCTGCTTTCAACTACCTGAAGGGGGGTTCCAAAGAGGATGGATCTAGACTGTTCTCAGTGGTAGCAGATGACAGAACAAGGAGTAATGGTCTCAAGTTGCAGTGGGGGGAGGGGTTAGGTTGGATATTAGGAAAAACTTTTTCACTAGGAGGGTGGTGAAGCACTGGAATGGGTAACTAGGGAGGTGGTGGAATTTCCTTCCTTAGAGGTTTTTACGGTCAGGCTTGACAAAGCCTGTCTGGGATGATTTAGTTGGGGATTGATCCTGCTTTGAGCAGGGGGTTGGACTAGATGACCTCCTGAGGTCCCTTCCAACCCTGATATTCTATGATTCTATGATTAACAAACTGGCAAAATGAAAGGAGAAGAAGCAATAGCATTGTTACTGAACATAACTGGTTGTTAACTGAGTTCCAGTTGATGAAACTTTGGACAGGATTGCTGCCTGTCCCAGGGAGAAACCCATGAAAAGGGAGCAGAGGGGAAAGAGAACTCAAGGAGGCTGACCTTGCAGGTTCCTGAGCAGCCTCCCTTCAAGAAAAGAGAGGAGTTTAGGAGCTGTAGAATTTGCAGAGAGTGAGGTCTCCCAACCTGAAGTCCTGAGGATTCAAGGGGAAGGGAACCCAGAGCCATAAAGACAGGAGCCATGCTCCAGGGATAGCTTCACCTCTGCATGGCTGGGCTGCACTGGAATGACTTCACCCCTGGAAGAAACTCTACTGCTATTAGCTGGGTCTCCCTGCAGCTGCTCCCTGGCAGCCTTGAACAGGACCCAGAGAGTCAATGCCACTGTTAACTGTATTAACTCCCAAACAGATTGGATCTGCAGGGCATGGTGCTGGAGAGCATAGCCAGTCTCCTGTTCTGTCTCTTCACACTCAGTGGAGGGGCATCTGTGATATCCCAGGCTGAAACAGGGGAAATGGTGCAGCAGTGGTATCACTGTCCCCCTTCTGGCTTGAATTTAAATGGCTCTTGCACGGGCATGTGACAAACGGGGGGTGCAAGAAGCCTTTCCCCCATCCAGCCCAGCACCTAAGCATATGAAGAGTGATGCTGAAGTCAATGACACTACTAATGTGTTTAAGGATCAGCACATGGTTGTGCACTGTGCCGAACTGGATTAATATGGTAGCTGTGCAAGAGCCTCTCACAAGAGCAGTCCTGGTCTCTCTACACTCTGGTGAGAACAGAGACTCCTGGCTTCTGTTCCCCATCCTCCCACGGCAAGATACAGAAAACGCGGCAGGGAGGATTGGGGAGGAGACAGTCACGGCCCTCTGCCCATCTTCCATTCTTCAGAGTGGACCTGACTCATCAGGGAGAGCAATTTGCTACAGTCTAATGGACGAAACAGATTTCACACATCCCCAGGAGCACAGAAAAAACCCTGCAGAGGGGCATCACATCAGGGCAGGGCATCGCCAATCTGGGCAGTGGAAAACAATGCCATGAACTAGCTTATCATGTGGGATGGGGAAGTTTTGCCAGAGAAAGGGTCCCTTCCTCACAGGTAAGTGTAAACTGATGCACAATTTAGAAAGAACCCATTCAGCTTTTAGATCCCAGGGATTGCAGGGCAGGCAAGTAGAAAAATAATCATGTTATTTGTAAAGTGAGGACATGTTAGCTGGAGTCACGGAGAAATGACAAACATATGGCCTCCGTGGCTATTTTTACAGAGTCCATTTACAGAGTAGAACCACATTTTCACATTGTTTCCATTTTTAAAAAAATATATATATGAAAGAAAACACTCTAATGTCCAAGACCTTTATCTCCTTAACTGGCTGTGGCAGCTGTTTGCTTGGGCTGCTCAGAGTCTGCAGAGAGGCTTTCAGGGTGACAAAGTTCAGGCTAAAGCAGCTCTCCAAAGAAGAAATACCAATTTGAAATCCTCACCACAGACTTTTTTCTGCCAAGAGCAGAGAGAAAACATCCTAAGCATTTTTGTCAGTGTTTTATGGCTATGCTGTTTTTTCTATCTTTAAAATTTAGAGGGAACAGACTTAAAGGTATTTATAAGACAGTATTTGGTCCTGCCATGCGGGCAGGGGACTGGACTTGATGACCTCTCGAGGTCCCTTCCAGTCCTAGAATCTATGAATCTATGAATCTATGAATAAACAAAGGCTCTATGTAAAACAGCTAGCCTCTTTATCTTGAATTCTGTATTCTAATGACTTGTCTATTATGATTCATTAACAAAAGTGCACCAGGATCACAGAGCTACAAACACTCTTCTGTATTTCCTGTCACTCTCACATAACAATAGATGGTAAAAGTTAAAAAAAAAAAAAAAAACCCACACACAAACCACAATAATAATAATTGCAAATAAAGTATTTTAAAGCTGGTGAGGCAGATATTCAGTTATGCCTCAGCCCTCTCTTTTGCTGTCAGCACTAAAAATGTGTCTGCATTTTGCTACCAAAAATGAGCTAGCAGCTAGAATAATTCTTGGATGTGTGGGTACAGCCTGGTCATTAAACATCTACCAACTAATATTTGTGATCACAGTTTTTCATGGGTGCAAAATTGCCCCTGTAAAACAGGAGTTCTCTTTAAAAATCTGTCCCTTTGTTCCAAAACCAAAAAAAGTCTCTTTTCTGCTACTAACACATGTTATTCCTTCCCTCATATGTGAGAATGGGGAAGAGGGGGACAGATTATCCCACATCTGTCTACTGCACCTTCCTCTGAATCATCTGGTGCTGGTCACTGGTGGAGACAGGATACTGGAGTAGATGGGCCTTGGGATCCAGTACAGCAAATCCTATGTTTCCAATACTGTGTTTCCATGTCCTATTCACAGCCAAGTCTCCCAACTTGCTCCTTTTCTCAAATTCACACCAAAATGGCGTCCCCTCGCATGTACTGGTGTATCAAATCAGACATTGCATATTTGTTTCATTTTGGGATCAGACTTTCTATACAACTACACATACATATTTTTAAAAAGCGAGAGAGACACTCCAAACACAGGCTCTTCTAGTCCATATCACCATATTATGAGCCAGCTACCACTCTCTCAAGAATGCAGGTACTGGAGAGTCTCAGCTTTTACCCTCCTGCCTTACTACACAACTGAATGACTATCTCACATCAACCGCAAGCCCTGCTCCATGTTAATAATTCCCCATTCGTATCCTATTCATATCCTAACCTATTCATATAATGGGTGCTGAAACGAAGGGTGTGTGTGTGGTGCTGCTTGAAGTGGTTTCCATCGTATGCAGAGTTTACAGTTTGATTCAATGGCTCTCAGCACCCCCACTATACAGATTGTTCCAGCACCCCGGTTCATGTCTCTTTTGCATAGTAATACAAGTGCCAATGGTATTCTGATGGTATTTGCTTAAGAAGTACTTTAGGAAGCCACATCATCCCGGCCAGTTGCTCTGAACCACTGATAATATTAAAATCCTATCTAATTACATGCACTTTAAATGTTACATCATTACAACTGATGCAATTATCTTGTACTTAAAGGGAACTGACCATTTGCTGATGCCAGAATCATGGCTTGAAGCATTTCCGTATCAAACTGGTTGTTTGGCCAAGCTCCACCTTCTTCTCCATTCTGGGAGCTAAGGAAAAGAAAATAAACAAAGAGTTACCAAAGGCTCAGCAGAGAGGGTGGGATTCTGTCAGATATTGCCTGTAGAAGTACCATGCTCTGTAGAGAAAGTTAATGCTATTGATTATTATAAGGTCACCCATTAAAGAAATATTCTAGAGATAAGACATTCCCCAAGGTCTCGATCTGTGTCTGGAGTTTTAAAGAACAACGATCATGAAGGGCCTGATTTTACAGGTATGTAGGTGCCTAACAATGTAGATAACCTCACTGAGCAGCTTTCACTAGGGCCCGGAGCCACAGAGTAACTTTGCAATGCTCAGCTTCACAACACCTAACTTTGAGGTGCCAAGAGAATCACTAGAACAACCCTGTGAACCACAAAGTCTGATTTAGGCACCTAGGCTCCCTATACAACACATGGAGAGAGACAGGCAACTTAGAATGAGATCCACAAAAGCTGTCACCCTAACCTAAGCCCTGGCCTACCTTATAAATGTATGTCGGTATAACTATGTTGCTCAGGGTGTGGGAGTTCTCCTGTTGGTGAAGGTAGCATCTTCACTAAGCGCTACAGTGGTGCAGCTGCACTGGTGCAGCTGTGTTGCTGTAGTGCTATAAACGTAGATAGGCTCTAAGTTGAGAGCTGCCTAAACTAGCCAATGGCAGATGCTGAAGAGAGGGATGTGTGCTAAGCCCCACCCCTCTAACAGAGATCGGTACCTAGGTCCAGACTGCAGGGAGGCACCTATCTCTGCTAGCTATCCACAAATCCAGGGAAGACTCCTCCTAACTGTCATGTGGGGCCTGCTCAAAGGTCGCCTAACTCCACACACAAGAGCTGGGGAAGAAGAAGTGGCTCCCTCATAACCTGTAGCTTGGTGGCTTGGGTATTCCCCCCAGAGATGGAAGACCACCAATTCAAGTCCCCCTTTGCTCCCCCCCCCCCCGTACCTGATAAGTAGGGCTGGTGGCAGGGGTGAAAGTAACTTAAAGGACTTATCGGTACTCCGGAGTCCTTAGGACGGGGCGGGGCCTCAACCGAAAGAGGCGGGGCCTTTAAATCCCCGGGCACTTTAAATCACCATCGGAGGGGGCTCCCGGCTGCCGCTGCCACCCCAGGGCCCCAGCTTCTGGCGGAGCTTTAAAGGGCCCGGGGCTCCACTGCAGTAGTGGCAGCTGGGAGCCCCTGGCCCTTTAAATCACTGCCAGAGCCCCGCCGCCACTACCCCAGGGCTCCAGCAGCAGGACTTGGGTGGCGATTTAAAGGGCCACGGAGGGTAGTGGCAGTGGGAGCCCTGGGCCCTTTAAATTGCCACCCGAGGCCCACTGCCAGAGCCCTGGGGTAGCAACGGCAGCCAGGGGCTAGGGCAGTGATTTAAAGAACCCGGGGTTCCGGCTGTCCCTACCGCCCCGGACCCTTTAAATTGTCCCCAGAGCCCTGCTGCCGGAGCCCTGGGAAGGCAGCGGCGGATCTCCAGCGGCTATTTTAAGGGCCGGGGCGGTAGCGGCTGCCGCAGCCCTGGACCCTTTAAATAGCCGCCGGAGCCCCACCGCCGCTACCCCAGGGCTCCGGGGACGATTTAAAGGGTCCAGGGCGGTAGCTGTGGCAGGAGCCTCAGGCCCTTTAAATCGCCGCTCGAGCCCCGCTGCTGCTTCCCCAGGGCTCTGGCAGCAGGGCTCTGGTGGCAATTTAAAGGGCCCAGGGCTCCAGCCGCTGCTGGGAGCCCCAGGCCCTTTAAATTGCCGCCAGGGGAAGCCAATCCGCTCTGGTATGGTGCACCGGCTCTTGCTGGTATGCCGTACCGGGGCATACCGGCTTACTTTCACCTCTGGCTGGTGGTTTCCAGAAAGTGCTGCTATTGCCACAGGTTTTTTCCAAAATTACTTTCATTTCTGGAATCCCTGATCAGAGGGTGAGCAAGGCACGCAGATCATGTGACTCTCCAGATTTCTGCCCGGAGACACCTAACTTACTCCCAGCGTGCAGGGCAGAGGCTGGGGCAAAGGTGATGTGTGGGCAAGGCATGTGTGGGGTCATGTGCCCCTCAGATTTCTACCCAGGAGGGTTGACAGGGCCAGGACCCGGCTCCCCACCCTGGGGAGGGGGAAAGGCCTGCAGGGAGGCCCTGATTGATGGCCTGTGCCTGTGCCAGCTTCCCTGTCACCGTGACAGGGAGCAGGACACTGCCCCCCACCTAGAGGTCGCAGGTACCCCCTCCAGCAACCCCCGAAATACCTCCTCCCAGTACACACACACCCCTCCAGTACACCCATATAACTCCTCCAGCACCCCTCAAATGCCCCTTCCCAGTACACCCCCCAGTACCCCTCAAATACCCCCCCCAGTAGACACACATCCCTCCAGCACCCCAAATACCCCCACCCAGTACACACACACCCCTCCAGTACCCCACAAATAACTCCTCCAGGACCCCCCAAATACTCCCTCCCAGTACACATACCCCTCCATCACTCCCCCAAATACCCCCTCCTAGTACGTACACACACACAAATACCCCCTCCCAGTATACATCCCCCCTCCAGCACCCCCCCAAATACCTCCTCCCAGCACACACACACCCCTCCAGCACCCCACAAATAACTCCTCCAGCAC